GCTCCTAAATAACAAACCAAATTCATTTTCCTTTTCATTGTAATCAAAAATTATATAATAAATCCACCTTCAGCTAATTTTGAAATGATCGTAAGGTATTCTGAATATGAGAATTTGATATTGTTATCAACTATGATATCCAAGTAGCAAAAAGATTTTGTAATTGTATACTAATAATACACTTTTCAGAAAATCTATCGGAGTATCTTGTTGATTACATTCTTTTGGTTTGCCAAATTTATTTCTTGCATTAATATAATAATTCAAATTCATAAATAAACTTTATGTCTTTCTTTTTTTTTTATTTTTTGGCTAACGAAAAAAAATAGTCTTTCATTTTCTCTAACACAAATCCCTTTCTTTCTGGTAACAACAATTTATAAAATGACATTGTATAAAATAAAAATTCTTGAGATTTATTTATGATACATTCAATAGAATGCGTGTAATAAACAAACAAACAAAATTCATTCCCGTAATACTTGACATGATTAGCTTTTTATATCAAAATTCTTCGATATCAAAGTTCATCCTTTCCAAATCCATTAGGAATACAAAGAGAGTTGGATTTAAGTTTTGATAATATTAACTTTGATTTTGTATATATCATTCATTTGTTTTCAACAAAAACCTTGCGAATCACGTGATTAGGTTTTAGCTTTATTATTTTTTTGAAAAATAACTCAATTATTTGATAAACCATGATTTTTAAATTTCAAAATTTAAGTCTCCATTATAATATAATAAATAAATATTTAAAGAAATTTTTATTGTTTTAATAATTCGGTAAATGATGTAACGCAGTTCACTAATTCCCGACGTATCATCGATTGTATATTTCAGAAATTTGGAAGTAAGATTATTTGCAAAAAGCAAGTAATTTTAAATACCACCCACCCAAAACAAAGGAGGAGATTGTCGGTAGGCGTTTGGAATAGTAGTTGTGTCTTAAAGAGTGGGACTTTGTATCCTCCAGTGTGCCACTAGAGCGAGAATAATTTTAACACAGTTTATATTTAGTGCTTTCCCTATGGTGGAATAATAGAGTCAGCATATACTCCAAATAAAGTTCTCGGATATTCTATGTTATGAACTATAATCAAGTTTTATAACATTAATGGATATATTAATAAAGAATTCTTATCAGAGTGATGTTATATCACACAACGAATGATATTTCCACCACAAGTATGAATTCAAAAATGCTGAATTCATTATACGCAACCTTATGAAATAGGAAAAGGTCAACAACCACAAACAATAATAATAAAGGAAAGAGAAAAATGTCTGATCAGAAATATTTTCTGCTCTGGGACAAGAATTAAAATAGTAATAGTAAAAAAATTTATTATTTCAAAAGATTGTAATTTAGCTTTAAAATGAAAGAATAAAATAAAAAGATATGACTAATGTAATGAATAAACTTATAGTAGAGATTAAATTAAACATCCATTGATAATTTATCAACTTCATCTATTCTTTCAACATCTTTTCCTTTACTATTGTAACTAGAATCTAATGTTCATTAATTGATTAAATGGGAATAAAATACTGTTAGTATTAATTAATGGATAGTAATTTCCAATTAATCAGTAATGAACCTTCTTTTACCTTTATTAAAATCAGCATTTATGAGAAAAGAATTAAAATCAAGATTATTCAATGAACTATCATTACTTGTATAACCTTTTAAGTTTATTGATTTATTAATTTCATCATCTAATATTCTACTTGTATGATATGCATCTGGATGTGATTTATGTATTTGTTGTGAATTACCATCACCACCATCACTGCTTCTGTTATCATTATTATTATTAGAATTGATTTTACGCTTTTTAATTTTAGAAAATTTGAATATTCTTTTCAGTAAACTAGTATCCTTTTTATTAATATTCAAACTTTCATTAATATTCAAACTTTCATTTTCATAAACTTCTTCTAATTTATTATCAGCAAAACCAAAAAGTTCTTCAGCAGTTGGTCTTTTTGATGGATCCACATCCCAACATTTCTGCATCATTTGTACATAATCATCAGGCATTCCTGGTAATATTGGTGGTCGTAAACCTTCACATATATCAAAAATTAAACAATGATTATGACCTCTATTGTCAAATGGTGGATGCCCTGCAAATATTTCCCACATTAACATTCCAATGCTATAAATATCTGTTTCTTTTGTGTTTTTTGTATTCTTTTTGCCTCTAAGTAGTTCAGGTGCAATATATGATATAATTCCATAGATTTTATTTGATGATTTTTCATCAACTGGCCCACATAATCCTAAATCTGTAATATAACAACCACCTCCTTGCAATAATACATTACCACTATGTAGATCACAATGAATTGAATCATTTTCATGTATATAATATAATGATCCACACAAATATCTAAAGATCATAATTCTATTTTTTAATGTTACTTTTGAATGATTTTTTTGTATATAATCTCTTAAATCTCCTTCAGGTATATACATAAGAACCATTGCATAACTTCTGTTATCTGGGAATTTAGTTATACCATAACAAGAAACAATCAAATGCGATTTAATGTTACAATAATTCATTGCCTGAAAATAAACATAAAATTAATTAATATAGTAGTATTATTTATTTTGCTACAAATAAAGTAAAATCTATTACCTC